AAGAAAAACTTTTCCTTTTTCGTAAATCATCAATTAAAAAAAAATAATAATTTGAATTTATTAAGGTAATTCTTATTGAATTATGTTTATATTACCTTTTAACTCAAAGTGACTCGTACAATATTTATATAGATACTAAAAATGCTACACAAAATCAATGACCGTGTAAAAGGTCCTTTTTTAATTCCTATCTAGATATTCTAAGTTTTCAATTCGATTCTTAGTCGCCTTAATATTTATAAGTTCGACATCTAGTTTCGTGTTCAGTTTTCAGAACTCTTATCATTAGTTCCTTTATTTATACGTTATAATCAAGAAAGCAGGTACATTGTTATACAACGTACAGGACTATAAATAGTCGATTTGAATGTGTGTCTGCTTTTATCTCGGTACATTTCCATTTCAATTTAAAACGAATACAATAATAACAACCGGCTCCGGCGGAATGGTTAAAATTAAAAACCTAAAAGGAAGAAAAATATTACATTTTTCCATCTAAGAGTCCTCAGGGTGGTTTCTTATTTTATATTCGTCAAAGTATATGAAAAGACTTTAACGTAAGTTTATTACCATAATCTGTTTACAAATGTAGATAAGAAACACTCACTGAGAAGTGTACAGAGATGTACTTAAAATAAAATGATCACAAATAATTTTTGTAAAAATAAAAGGATAAGAGGAAAAGATATTTAATAATTTTTTTATGAATATTTAGAAACTAACAGAAAAATTAAAACTTTTGAAAAGTATGTACAGGAAATAATTATAAATAAAGCATTTCCATTTATTAACTTTTCCAACTCACTATCGTCATACTAATCGTAAAAGAATTTGATAATTATGAGAGATGAGAGACTTATTTAGTGTTTGCAAAGAAAATATTTTAAAATCACTTTGTTCAAATCGAAAGATGTAATTGTTGCACTAGGTAAAAGTGGTATACCATAGACTTTCTTGCAATTATTTCTACACCACGTATATTAATAAATTAATATAAAATTAAATACTCGCATTAGTGAACAAATTAGATGTCCTGACAAAGGTAATTTTGGTAATCATATTAAGTTTAACAATTAAAATTTCACTTCTACAGAGAGTTCTACTTGGTATTCTTCACAGCGTTTTTAATTGGTATGTTAAAATAAAATTACACATCTTAAGATTCACCAAGAATCTCTATAAACTAAAATGAACCTGTATTGAGACTCAAATTCACCTCAACCGTAAAATAAACTGCTGGCCACTTGAACATACACATAGAGATTTTTAGGCAAAATTTAAAGTTCAATATTTTCAACAGGAATGCAAATTTTTAAACGCGGCTTGCAGATTTTAAGAGCTACTTTTTTTAAAACAAAGGTTGTAACGGTTTTAATCGAACGTTATGCCTTATCGCCTATTTCTGTCTCAAAACTAGCAGAGAATTAACTTATAATCTAGAAATTACCTTGAATATGCTCCTGTCGTAGAACTTCATTAGATTTTCGAGAAAACACAGCTTTATTCAAATGGGATTTAGCGTAACTGGTGTAAATGTTCCTTCTTAGGGCTCACATAATTTTTACAAGGTTACACTGAATTTCACTATGGTTTTCAGCAGTAGTTTTCACTCTTAAGATATTGTTTACAATAACCTCTGTATTTTGTTGATTTTATTCAAAAGGAATTTAGCGTAACTGGGGTAAATGTTCCTCCTTAGGGCTCACATAATTTTTACAAGGTTACACTGAAATTCACTATGATTCTCAATAAAACTGTTTACTTGTAGAAGTGTTGTTTACAATGTTTTTGTTATTTTGTAGGTTAAAACTGATATCGGATGTCATTTAATTTCATGAAGTATGCCTGTTGCACTTCGAGATGTCTATCTTTGTTCGATAAGTGATTCTTAGGTAATGCCTCTCTCTCTCTGCTTGACGGAGGACAAGGGACGTTATATGTCTGACCTCGATTCATACGCCAGTGATTCATGAACTAAGGAGTGCTCGTTTAAGCGGTGGTTGCTTTTCATGGGCATATTTTTGGGTTTTTTTATTGGTCGAGCAGTGTTAACAGAGCTGTGAGCCTGAATGCGAATGGTCGTATTCTAGTAGTTGAAGGAGGTCATTGGTCGCACAGTATAACCAACAATAATTTCTAGAGATCAGACAGTGGCGATTGGTTTAAATGAATTTTCTTTGAAGTGATTCTGCGCAGTCGAGGTTTTATGCTAGGGGGCGAAGAACGGCGCAATTTGTAACACGTGGCAGCTTCGTCTTTCTTTCCAACAAGGAATGTTAATGGAGGTGTTGAACTGAAAATTCGCTAAGAGACTTTTTACTTTTTTTATGTGATTTTATATATCATCCCGCGTGGGGAGTCTAGTAAAAGTGTCTCTATTTTATGGGAAGCATTGATGGTACGTTTTGAAGTTGGTTAACGCGAAGTTAGACCGGTATTTTTTTATGTGATTGTGTGCCGGCTTTCCCATCTCATCTTGAGGAGCATTGAATATTGAAGTTCAACCCATCCGTCGTCCTGTAGCAGTTTGATGGTTGGAGACCGATCGTAATTGGGTTATATATTGAAGGGAGAATTGGTCTTTAAGAAGTTCTACGCAGATTTCATTTCCTTTTTGATTCGAAGTTACACCCTCCGGAACAGAGGTTGGTTTTATTATTTTGTTTTATTTGATAAATTGTAAATATTGCTACCCATTCATTTTAATAACAGATTATTTCAGATTTTAAGGGGGTTGAATATGGGGGACAGGTTATACTGTATAGTTTTACTGGTTCATTTTTTTTATTGGGCACTTTTGATGCTTTGCTTGCATAGTCTTTACTTGGGCAATAATTTCAACCCTCTGGGAGGTTCAATTAATTCACATTAATTTTCAAGGATAAAGGATCAATTTAGGTTATCAGATTGTAATTAGGATTGTACATTTTAGGGTGTTTGGTACCGGTGTTGCTTGGTACCGGTGTTGTTTGGTACCGGTGTTGCCTGCTACTGTTGCTGGGCACAGTGCAGCTGTATGGTAGTGAAGATACTGCCTAGTACTAGCGTTTTCCTGACTGGTATTGATTATGTACTTCCTCTTTAACGAAGAACAGCCATTTTGGGGTTCGAACACCTCATCTACTTTTCTAGAACATCAGAGATTTGGTATCATAGGACTACATGCCACAGGCGGCAACGCTAGCCTTGAATAGCACGGATCAGGAGATAAGTGGAAATTATGCATTTATTTTTCTATCATTTCGGTTATAATTTGGGGTTTATTATTTAGTCTACCACTGATACGTATATGTATACAGTTTTCTTTATGAATTTATTTGATTAAATAACGTTGTGTTCATATGCTATTAAAGGCCCTCATTGCCTATGTTTCATGGTTAGTTCATATATCATAATTCATAGTGTTTTATAATAAGAGTATGTTTCACATTGTTTAGTGAAACAAATACTATTTTAGTTTATAAGTATTTTGGATATGAACTTCTGTAATATACAGAAATTACAGGATTTTTAATATTAAATGAAGTTAACCTTTTCTATGAGTTGCGCTTGATATGTTTTTCGCCTTGGATCTAACGCTAATGACCGTGGGGTATTGAGAAGTAATACTTAATGGGGTACTGACAAGTAATATTATTGATTTTATTAAGATTCAATGAACTAACCCTGTCTAATTTCTGTACACTGCGCTAAAATATTGTAAATACTGGTATTAATTTGGGGTTATGATTAGCCCTCAGGTATGTAAGTAAAAATCTAGTCCTTCTAGCATATGAATTGTGTTTGAAGTCGCTAATAGCGCACTGATTGTAAAGGGGGTCATTAACTAAGGGGAAACTATCTTCCAATTAGGAAATAAACAAGATTTGAGTTAAGGTTGTCTTTTATTTTCCTATTTATTTGGTAGGTTTAAAAGTAGGACTTTTCTGATTTGTAGTGGCTTGGTATAGTAGATTTACCTGGCGTCCAATTTAACAGAACAGCTAAAATAATTTATTTTTCCCTGATTACGAAGTAATCACCCACTCCCTTCTCCACTTGAGTGAACCGGAGCTACAAGGTTGACATCAGGGACAACTGAACTTAAAGTAACGTTTTGGGGGTTACAAGGTGCATGACGTACGTATATTTATCAAAGGACCATAAGCTTAATATATACGGAATGATCAAGGAAGTCATGCAAAAAATTAAAAAGTTTGTATGAGTAAAATTGTTTTGGTCGTTTCAATATGGTTCGTTACTAAGGTAACATCAATATTTTAAGATATTTTGGCCAGTTTTTGGATTAAACCCTTAGGTCCTAACATAAAATTTAGGTAGCAAATTTTTAAAAATGTTATAACTTGACATTGGATTGATGGTTCTTGATGATTTTTGCGGATTTGGAATCATTATTTCACGTAGATTTTCTATATACTAAGCATTTTATTTGAGGGTTGAAATTTACATATTATGCCGGGCCGATAATATACAATAACGTAGCAACAGAAAGACGTTTATTACATTATATTCTACAATATAGGTATAAGATTGGTTAACAACGGCCAAAAGTCAATTCTTACAATATTTCTAATTCTAAACATAATTTAAAGGTTACTGAAATTCCTAAAAAAACACGGTGTACTGAAATACCATAAAGATTAGGTATGTATGAATAGGGAAACTTAGTGGTAATTGGTATTGGTAATTTTTTATAGATAAAAAAAAATTGCCTGAAAAGCATAAATTGTTTGTCCATTATTTTTTGTTTTGAACCCAGTGCGTCAAAGATTGGAATTGCAACCTTGAATTTTAGTTATTGTTAGCAACAATGTGTTAAAAGGACGAGGTCATTAAAAGCAACATGCAAATATCAATGGAAAAATGCCAAATGTCCTATCTTTAAATAACAAATCTTTGGTAATAATTTACCCGAAATTAAGTAAGTACATTAACCCTCCGTTAGGTTCAAAGATTTTTGTAACGCGGTTAGTCGCGCTGTATCTCTCAGATACATGTACCTATATGAAGTGTTATTCATTTGAAATTTTAATAATTTACACCCAAATGAGTTTTTATAACATTGCACAAACGATAATCACTTGCCTGACTGATGGAACCTATTTGAACCCAAAATTCAAATTAATGTAAGGTATTGTAATTACACTCTTTCAGTTGAAAAATTCTAAAGATAGATTGTAAAAAAAAAACAGTTCCAAAATGCACTTTTTAAACAAAAATCGTCTATATTCAGAACATATAAAGTTTATGTTTATTATACAACAATATATTTAGTTAGTTACATAAAAAATATTCTAAAACCTAACATCGAGACAGTTTTCGCAAATAATTTTTGAATATTGTTTCAAACATAAAGCGATGCCGGACTGTAGACAACTGTTAGTGCTGAATGATTTTTTTTTGCTCTCTAGATAGCAACATTGACAGCGTCACCTTTTTGGCGCCCTCGACGTTCCCGGTTTGGGCTCTCCTTAAGGACTATATTTTTTTAATAAAGTTCCTATTTCCACGGGAAGGCTTAATATTTTGGCGCAAATTCCTAGTTGGTCTTCTAACAAAGTTAAAGTCAGTTTTTTTAAATATTCCTTCCGTGAGACAAATTTATTTTGATTCGCCAGAAAAACTATTCTAGCATTCATGAGGTGGTAAAAAATTACCATTGGCCACCTTTTTGGCCAAACTAATATTATGTTGGTCCTCCTTCTCAACGTATTACTTCCCGACATCGATTTTGTAGAGTATTCACAAGATTATTTTTAAAATCTTGTGGAATATTCTACCATTCTTCACAAATGACCTCACTAAGCATTTTTAAGGTTTCAGGAGGTACATCACGCGATCCTATTTTAAGTTTTAAGTAATACCAAATGTGTTTAATCATATTTTAAGTTTTAAGTAATACCAAACGTGTTTGATCATATTAAGCCAGTATATCCTATTGATGTTCTGTGCCAGCAAAAACTCTGTGATCCTTTGCACTCTGTGAGGTCGAGCGTTGCCATCCACCAATAGAAATTTTGGGCTGTAATTTCAAGCAAAAGAAAAAACAATCGGTTTTAAAATTTCCTCCTGATAAACAGTGGTGTTATCCGTTTGGTTGGTAATGAATACCTCGCTTTTATCATTTCTTATGAAACTTCCCCACACTGTAACACCTCCGCCACCAAATACCTCTTGATGGGCCTATTTTTATTTAAAATACCGCTTATTTGGCTCTCTCCAAATTACCATTCGGCCATCGGACTGAATCAAATTAAATCTTGTTTCGTCAGTAAATAAACAATGGCTCCACTTAGCATTACCCTAATTCTCCTGCCGATTTGCCCATGTCCGCCTATTCTCTCTATGGTGTTGTAATAACCGCACACATTTTGCTCTGTGACGGGCTTTATAATTTAAAATTTTTGTTTTTGTTTAATGTTCACCCCCATCCATAATTATGATCAGCAGTAATTTCGATGCGACGGTTCAAATTATAAATTGTCTTTCGGTTGAAATTTTAAATGTGCGCAAATTGCTTTTTTGACATTTCTTTATTAAGAAGTCGAATGAAATGTTCCCTTTCTGCCGTGGTTAAATGCCCCATATTAATTAAAATTTACAAAATTTTAACATTGGTGATTATTTCTAAAATAATGTTGACAGTTTTTAATCCCATAGCAGCAAATTTGTTTTTCCAATGCCTGCTTTGAAATTGATACGTCACCGATCATAAATATGGGCATGGGGGTGGACAAAGAACTCTGTGAAACTAAATGACCCTTTGAGATAACAAGTTGGGGTAAGAGTTTTGGACAGAACAGTGAGGACATTAAATAAAAACAACTTGAGATGAGAATTTATTTTTACAAAAACTTAAATGATGCCAAACCTTAGAGCGCATCGTACGCTACGTTTTTGTCTGTTATCAGCTCGGTATAATATGTAAATTTCAACCCTAAAATAATATGCTTAGAACATAGAAAATCTACGTTAAATAAGATTTCCAAATTATCAAGATCCGTTAATCCAATGTCGTTATAGCCATAGACATCATATTATCTAAGATAGACTCGCCCTACACACTGTATACCCAATACACCTTGTCCGCATGTTTTACTAGACGGGGAAAGGGGAATCGTACGTCGCACATTGACGTAGTGTTTCGGGAGGGTTTACATATATTTTTAGTAAAAATTATTTACGCCAGTATGCACCGTACACGTTTAATCCAGATCAAGGGTTTAATCGCGTTTAGTACCATAGCTAAACAGGGTATTAAACGCGATTAAACCCTTGATTTGGATTAAACGTGTACGGTGCATACGGGCGTTAATGACCAAATCAATAATCTATGGGTCTTCGGAATCAAAGCTAAATTTAAAGAAAACATATTCAATTTATACAGGACATTCAAAAAGTCATTTTATATTTTTTCTTATAGATTAAAATAGTAGGTAGCTCAAAGTGGAAGAACATTTTTGTTAGTATTTTATTATATATATATATATTTTTTAAATACATGAAGAGCAAAGAGCAAGTAAAAATATAAAGCCATTTATTATTATTTTTACATGGGTACTGTTTGAAAACCTTTATTACAGGTCGAAAAAAGAATAATTATATTGCCGGACTACCTTTTTTTATGAAATAAAAAGCTATTAAAAACAGAACAACTTTATTTCAGATACATAAATATACAAATATGATCTTTCTATTACATACCATTTGGGTTGCATGTCACGACACCTATTTTTAGAATTATTTGCGTAATGATATAATAACTCATTTAGGACAGTAATCAGCAATGATTTTATAATATCTGGACAAGGCTAAAACACATTAGCTTAAGATTATCAAGAGATACTTTATTTCTAATTTGTCCGAATAGAAAAAACACTAAAGGAAGCTTCTTTTGTGACATTTCGAATGTCATTTTACTATCATGATTACTCCTACAAACACTCTTGGTGAAGAATCTGCTCAATAGATTTATTTAGTGTTATAAGATAACTGATATTTTGTAAAGCATATTTTGGAATAAAAGACAAAATAGCTATTTGTGTATTAAGAACAGAAAGTAGCACCTTTGACAGTTGAGACAGAAAGTCTGTCGATGAGAAAATATTTAGTTTATATTTATTCAAAAAGGAGGAAAAATACAATAGTCGTTTTCTTTTTACAAGCATACTTGACTAACTAAAAGTTAGATTCTGATCTAATATTAACTGTAAAAAGAACGCGAATTTTGGTTGACAGGTGACGTGCCCCATGTCATCCGTTTAAAAACTATAGGTCTTTTCCTTTGCATCGAAAGTGTAGCACTGGGCTACGTTATTTCTGAAAATATTGTTCCATCCATACAATTTGTATAAATGGAACGATATTTTCAGAAGTGGTGTAGCTCGGTCCTACACTTTCGATGCAAAGGAAAAGACCTAATCCCTATTTTAATCAAATTTTATAATTTTTTCAACATTCAACACTACAAATCTCACCCCCTGTTATCATAGTCTTTTATTCTCTCTAAAATAATGAATTCATGGGATATGTTTGTTCATATGATGCACAGAACACTCACTTTCTGTGATGGTTTAAGGTTGACGTCAAGTACCGTGCACCTTAGCATCGGTAAGGGGGGAAGAAAGATTCTGACTTACAATCATAAATAGAACGTACATCTCAGCTTAGTCGATGTAAGTTAGCTCAGATTAGTTGTAAAAAGAAAACGACTATTATCAAAACTGTTATCTCAGTTATGTAATCATCATTTTCAGTATTTGTGTTTTTCCAACTGACCATATCAACTGACCATTATTTTCTAATTGAGATGAAAAGCCGTACGAGTCGCAGATATGTACGGTTTTTCACCTAATTTCACGGGTATATTCAGCTGTACTACATTAACAGCTAGGTATCTAGTATGGTTTTTAAGCTCAATGCGCTAGTTCAGTGTGATGTCATTTTGGTTCGACTGACATTTAATTCTAACCAAACTTTTAACAAAAACATCAATAAATTTAACATATACGTTTTTACTATTTTTATTTTATTTCAAAATATTGTTTACAGGTCATAAAAAATAGTTTAAAGGTATATAATTGGTAACTAAACGATTGTATATTTGATACATGCTATCTACTTACTTTAGGAATATATTTATAAAAGTGAAAAAAAAAACGATATAATTTAGGTAAACAAAACGAACAAAACGCACTCCAAAAATCTACTGTCACTTTAATTGTCAGTGGAACCATAATTATCACTGAAATAGCGCATCGATGAAGAGACCAATTTTAAACGAAATGGCTTATTTTGAAATGTCAAATTTGAGACTTGTACGGTTTTAGAACTCACTGGTTCAATTGCAGAACACTGTTTGCAGTGAATCTTTTTCTTTAAGGATTTTACTATAAAACCATAAATATAAGCAACTACATCCTGAATGTATTCGCTCAGAAAATATATAGATAGGTAATCATGGTCACGAAGCTCATTTGTAAATTCCAAATTTTCTTTAGTGTCTGATTCGTAACATTTTAAATTTAACGCAATTTGGCTACTAGTGTTGCTACAATCGAAGATGCTGGTGCCATCTAAAGCAATTGCATTGGCAGTTTTATTTGACTTTACTTCATTATGAATTAATAATTTTTTATAACAATTTTGAAACAATCTTCATGTGAGATTGTTATTGAAGCATCCGTTACGAACTGCACTAAAAAAAGTATTTTTTTTTCTTCATTTTTCGCCCCTTCAACTACCTCTCCCAAAATTCTGTAAAATGTGATGATTGTATAATTTTAGAGCTTACATATAATAAAAATACCCATAATAAATACTGTACTTACTTGATAGGTATAGCATTATGTTTTAAGATGTGTCTACTACTTAAATTTTCATAAATATCTGCCATACAAAAATGGTCAGAACATATACTAAGGCTTCTTTCATTTTCATAATGTTTTCCTCCACCAAGCATAGATTTTGCAGCCAAATTCTACGTTGAATAATTTCTCTAGGAAACCTGATCAGAAAATA